CCCCAAAACCCCAAAACCCCAAAACCCCAAAACCCCACTTTTTACGCAATTTATTGAATATTAACCCAAAATGAATAGAAAACAGTTCTCTCAGGACAGCAACGGGTCATCCAAAAGTGACGTAGAGTGATACGATTGCCTCTACACTAAAGATAAACACAAGAAGGATACCAATCGGGTCTGGAACGATGGTATATTCATCTACAACAGAGATACAGGCCAGGTAAGTCTTCGTCTTTTCATACTATAGATGATCATCTATGACTCGATAGATAAAGATACGAAAGTAGCTCAACAGTTTAAAAAGAATTGGGTCCTGTACGATGAAAGTGAGATTGTTCACTTCCCAATGTGCCTCTGAACACTTGAAGTAAGCGAAACTCTTAAAATCTAGGCAAAAAGAGACACTCCTCATAAGTACATTAAATCGATCCCAGATATCAAAAGTGTCAGACTGAAAAGTGCTCCAAAGACCAACCGCTTCCTTGACAAATTTACTAAGAAAGAAGGGAAAATAAAAGTTGAGAAATTGAAGAGGAAGAAGTTCAAGGTTCCTGAGAAAAAGAAGGAGGAAGCACCAAGTGGGTCTCTCCATTACAACTCTAGTGCAACCAAAACAAATTACTACAGTTATGGCAAACCAGGGTTTAAGAACAATCATGCTCCTCTCCAAGGAAGTAAACATAGGTCTCCTACCAAAGCTCCACACCAAAAGTTTGATGAAGATGAAATGGCTGCCTTTTTAGATGATTTTGTCAATGAAGAGGAACAACCAGAGAAGCAAAAGCAAGTAAAACCTGCAGCAACAGTTGACCAAGATGTAAATGACTTCTTCAGTCGAGTAAAAGGTGTCAACAAAAAGCCTAAATTCAACAAAACTGAGCATGTTCTGAAACAAATCTCAGAAAGCGATTCCGAAAACTCGCCCAACTCTGAAGACGAGGATGTTCAGCTAGAGAGAAAAATAAAGATGCTCTCTGGACTTGACTCCATAAATGCAAAATCATCTAAAGAAAGCATGATTATTAACACTATTGATCTGCCCAAACCCAAGTCTACTGTTCCTAACCCAGAAATTAAGAAGGAAAAGGATCACAAGTTAGCAGAAGACCTTGCTGACATAAAACTTCTCGAGAGAAGAAAAGAAGGTGACATAACTTGCAACGAATCCTGTAATGAAGGCGATATGTTAGATCTCCTTAATGCAGGGACTGAGCAAGAGTCTTCCAAAGAAGATAATAGCCAAGATATCCAAACACTGTTAGGGAAAAGAAGAACCAGAGACCAAATGGAGACAGATAACCTTGTGCTCCCTTCTCCAACAAGATTGGAAAAACGTGCAAATATACATTTCAATGATGAGGATATCGAGGAGATCTCAAGAATGGTTAATGTTCACTCGAATGAAAACCTTGAATCTTTCGAAAGGACAATCATCGATCTCCAAGAAAGTCCTCTAGATGTGGAAAATTACAATGATGTGTACAGAAACAGAAGGAATTATTCTAAATATTACATTCTATCACTCCTAGAGATGCTGAAGTACGAAATAGAAGAAGACTTCAACAACAAGAAAGCACGTGAGATCCCGATCATCTCTGTCAGTCTTGACTCAGTTACCAAGAAGAAAAAGAAAAAAGGCAGTACGTTCCAGAAAAAGATGAAGAAGCTCAAAAAGAAAACAGAGAAAGAGACGAAAGCTTATTCAGAAAATCTTCAGCTCAAATCCAAAAAGCAAATGGAATCAAGGAACAAGACTCTTGAGAAAAAGATCAATGCGAAAGAAACTGGAGCTGCAGACCCAGATACAGATTCACAGGAGGAAGTCCAGGCTAATGATGAGGATGAGGAAGAAACCTATGAACCCGGAACTGCCTTTAAGAGTCTTACTAAGCAAAAGGATCTTCCTCCTGTTACTGAAGAAGCTGAAATCCAGCAGGAAAATACTAATCCTGATCAAAAGGATGAACAAAAAGAAGGCGATACAGACTCTACTGCTTTAGCAAACATGATTAAAGCTGATAAAGAGCAGAAGAAAGATGCTGAAACCATTGAGCAAGAAGAAGATGAAGCAGAAGGTGACATCATCGATCATATTTCCATTGATGAAGAAGATGAACTCCTCAACGACTCTCAAGATGAGGACCTTGATGAAGACCAAGAAGAGGAGAAGACTCAATCCCAAACAGATGAAAATACAACAGATGTCTTCTTTCTTAATATTGAAGAAGAAGAATACCCTCAAGCCCTTAAAAAGAATGCTCAGAAAGATGACATGTGGGTATTAATGAAGACCTGAATGAATACCACACAGAAGCTCAAGGATATCAATGACTTCATCTTTGTCAAAACATGCTGGCATGGACTTGGCAAAGCTAAGAAAATCAAGGTGAAAGTCATCGGAAATCCAGCTGATATAAAACCAAGGATGAAAGAGTATAAATTTGCGTTCAGATCTATCAATGTCAGTCAATATGCCAGCTTAGTTGATAACTTGATAGCCTTCAGAGATGGGCCCAAGAATAGATACCTTGATAGTGTATTGTATATCAACAAAACAACCTTCTTTGAACCTCTGATTGAGTGAAATAGGAGTGATGTTGTCAAAATGAAAGATTACTTTAGCCAAGAGTTCAGCCTAAATAGAGACCAAAGATAGTAAGTATCAGTTAATAACACTCTAGCGTCATGGAAGAGTGCATCAAGTGGTTCCTCCCAAAAGACAGAAGTAATGATGCAAAGCAAAATGTTCTCTTAGTTCATGGAGCATTTGGATGAGGAAAATCTTATATGCTAGTTGCTATTATCAGATTCATATCTGCCCTATTAGATCATATTGGAGATACAGAAATAAAAATTTTAGTATCTACACTAACAAATGTTGCTGTTGATCGAATCTTACTTTTATTACTCGAGACAGGATTTCAAGACTTTGCCAGAGTAGGATCATTACAAAAAATCAATAAAATGCTGCTTCCCTACTCCCATCATGCGAGTTGAAATAATACTTCCAGAAAAGAAGCTCTTAAAGAGCTTGATGGAATCAGAAAAGATTTGCATAGTTTAGAAAAGAAAACACCAAAAACCTGGGAAGAAATCAACTCTGTAGAGGCGACTATAAAAAGCCTCAAAGAACAGACAGTTAGTGAGAGAAGAGAGCAGCTAAGAAGTAAGCGGGTTGTGGGATGAACTCTTGCTGCTACCACTTTTGAGGTTCTCAAGAAAACTACCTTCAAAATAGTCATTCTTGATGAATGCTCTCAAATGCTTGAGCCACATAGTTTACAAGCTATAGTTCCATTTGGATGTGAGAAACTAATTGCTGTTGGTGATCCTCTTCAGCTACCTCCTATAGTCTCACTAGGCTTCAAAGATTTATATGACAAGCAGAAGCAGGATGACAGATCTTTATACAAGCCTCTATTTGTGCGGCTTCAATATGACCAGCTTGAGACGATTTTGCTCAGAGTTCAATACAGATGCCATCCTGCAATTGGCGAGCTTTCTAACAACTTATTCTACGAGAATGAACTTGAGCACGGAGTAAATGCTCAAAGCAGAGAAAGACTCCTTTCAGAATTTGAAGCTATCAACTTCATAAATGCAGATAAAGGAGTTGAAACTAAAAGTGAAGTGTCTTATTGAAATTACTATGAAGCTAAGTTCATAGTGGCATTGCTTGAGTACCTCCAGACCATCATTGAGAACAAAAAGATTGCCTTCCTAGAGCAAGGAATTGAAGAAGAACCAGATTTCACAATAGGAGTAATCGTGACATACAAAGCTCAAGAAGATCTTATAAAAAGAATAATAAGCGAGACCAGAATTGAGAGCCTCAAGCACATCCAGATCTCCACAGTTGATGCATTCCAAGGTGCTGAAAGAGACGTAATCATCCTTGGCTGAGTTCGTACCAGAAGTCTTGGTTTCATGAATGATTACAGAAGACTTAATGTAGCTATTACCAGGGCCAAAAGACACTTGATTCTTGTGGGTCATGAAAAATTGCTCAAGAAGAATCCTCAATGGAAATACATCATTGATAACACAAAAGTGTTGAAGAAGGGATACAAGAAATGAGAAGAATACTTAGCAAAAGCGAAGATCTTTAGAGAGCTTCTTTCAGGAATGTAAGCTTTATAATTTCTATAAAAATTGGGGTTTTGGGGTTTTGGGGTTTTGGGG